TATATATATATATATATATATATATATATATATATATTGCAGAAAACTTAACTTGTTAAACAAAAGGAGTTTGAAGAGTTTACATTTGCAAGGCATTATGGGAGCCTGCTGGTAGACTGCTGTTGAAAGTTGCTCTGACATTGGTATTATTTATGTGGAACAGTTCTGTAGTTCTGAATTTAAATGGTGTTGCGGTCCTCTATGTATTAACTGACCTACTTGGTTGTAGCTATGGGGGTTCTGTTACTCTTGTTAGATATAGCCTTATTACATTATTTCTATTATTGAATGACCAGCTTTTTCGGATCACTTTGTTGGATACTGTCTTGCTTTCAGATGGATGGTCTCTTATCCTCGATGATAATTCATGCTATAGCTTGATGCCACTTTGGGAATTAAGTGTTAGGGTGCAAATCCCTTTATGGGTTCTTGGTTTCTCTGGGGTTTGGGTGGCTTCTCTTTGTGGCCACATCACATTTTTGCATAATTTTTTTCATTCCATATACTGTGTTTTCTGTATTATTGTGGCAGGGATCTACTTATCAGTTTTATGGAAGAGTTCGATTTTAATGTTCAACCTGTTGAACAATGCACTCTTGCTTTGTGCTTTCTCTCTTCTACTATTCTCCACAACAAGTTTTGGTGGATGTTGGACTTTGGATACTTGGAAATCCACACTGTTTTTCTAGTTCCTAGTTGCGGGTACTCTATGTAAATGCAAACCCCTAACTGATAGCATGAGAATGAAGGATTTGATTGATGGTTTTGTGGTTCTTTGCACTTATGTTTTTACAATGTTCACAATTTTTTTTGTGGTTGGTATACATGTAATTTTGGGTACACTTCTTTTGTTGGTATACTTTTTGGGTTTATACATATATTTTCTATTGTTTGGCGTGGAGTTGTACTGCAGATAGTGGAACCCGTAGGATTTGATGTTTTTTATTTTTTTTTAAACGGGGATCCACTATCCCTCCCCATTTTGCATCATTTTTAATTATATATATATATA